TCCATGGAGCAATCTGAATGTTCTGCACTGGTTGGGGCAGCCGTGGATTGTTCTTATGGCCCTAAATGCTCAGTGGGTCTTGTAAGTGGTATAGTCAGTCAGGACTTTTTGATATTCTAACTGGGGAAAGAGGGAATTACCCAAGGGGGATGAGGGAGGACAACAGAGGAGGGGAACAACTGAGGACAAGTAGAAGGACACATATGAAGAGGCTGTGATAAAACCGAGTATTCTGCATGTTAAGCTAATAACTCAGGATTGAAAAAATGGGCATAGTGGAGCTAGAGAGGTGGCTTAGCAGTTAAGAGGACTGAAGGCTCTTGTGGGGAATCTGGGTTCGGTTCTCGGCACCCACATGGAAGCTCACAGTTACCTGAAACTCTAGTTCCAGGCATCTGATGCCCTCTCCTGGCCTCCCGGGGCACCAGGCACACATGTGGTGCACATACATTCCTGTAGACAAAACACTCATGCAGATAAAATAAAAATAAATGCTTCTTCAAAACACTCATGCAGATAAAATAAAAATAAATGCTTCATCTCACAATCTAAAAATTAAATGAGATTCATATATATATTACATATATATAGTGACTTTGTATGAAACTTGCCTCACAGTTATTTTAACTACATTATGTTAATATATTATAATTAGCACAGATGTTAAAACCATCAATTATTATAACATTTACCAATTATATTAACAGTATGAATATCATTTCATTTGAATAGGTTAACATAATATGACTAGATACATCAATTATCCTGTAATTATTACGAGTACTTGGGACTTTGTTAGTGCTATGCCTATGTTTGCATACTGCTTCAAACATCCCCAAACAAAGGTTGGGGATGTAGCTTAGTGGGAGAGAGCTTTTTTAACATATGCAATACTCCAGGTTTAATGCCAGGTACTGGGAAAAAACCAAACCAAACCAAAACAAAATAATTATCCTTAGCGACAATAACACTTACTGGTTATTTAGTGCAACTGGTCACACTGGACAAGTGTGGTATGCTGAGGTAACCAGAGATCACATGTAGTTCGCTCAGTGCCAGCCACACTCCTAGCCTCCTCCTTCTCCACCATTTTTATCAGCTCATATAACTGCGTATTTAACAAGTTCATCTGTTTTTATTGTTTTGTTTTCAGACCGTTCATGTAGGTCGAGCTGCCTCAGACTTGATGTGTAGCCTAGGATGACCTCGAAGCACCCATCTTTTCATGTCTACCTTCCTAGCGCGGGGTTTCAGGTGTGAGCCACGTTGCCTGCCTGGTGTTTATTGCTCTCCATCTCATGTGGAGCTCAGAATGACACCACTGCTCAAAACAACTTCCCACCTCTCCATCTCTGACTGTTTCACAATTAACTTTTCAACTAGTAATTTGTTTTTCAGTGCCAATGAATTAATTAGATGTTCAATGTTCTTCACTAGAATTTTATCCTGTCAGTGAATAGGGAAGAAACACCAATTATTGTTTAATATATATTGGAGAGCTCCGTAAGCACAGACGTAACCGGCCTTGCTGCTGAGATGATAGCATACTTCAGTCAAGAACTATGTAGAAAAGCAGTTGGATACTCAATGGAAGCCCAAGTTCTCAGACACTGTGATATGACAGAATGCTCTGACCCCTGACCCCTGTTAGGTCAAACAGTTCTTAAATATTTTTCCCTAAGCGCATTTTCTATATTGGGATTACTAAATGGCCACTTCCAAAGATGTTATCCCATAACTCCTTGTCCCAGGCGGAGGGAGCCCTTTAAGAAGCCGTGTCTTCCACCGCCATGAACAGAGTATCGGGATTGGCACAAGTACAGATGTGCCTGAACGAAAGCTTCAGGCCTGTTGGGCTTCACCTCTCCACTTTCATAGATTGGCTCAGGTCACCCAGAGCAACATCCAGAGTTGCTGGCCAGAGAACCAGCTGGACAATGTGACCTCCTGACGGTGAAGAATGCCCTCTACATAGTTGCCACTATTTTGACCCATTGGTCAACTGTGTAAGCTTTGAATAAGTCAGCTCTGAGTTCAAGTCTTGCCCATGTTCCTTACCAGAAACTTGCCTTGTTTTCCCCATCATTAGTGAAAAGTCAGGCCTACCTCATAATCGCTTTTTATATTAATATGAAAAAGGCACAGTAAATAGTCACTGCTCTAATGTTCACCATATGGCTATACTAGAATAGAAATAGAACTCACAGTTCCTGTTTGACTTAAAACAACATGGCATAATCAGAAATTCATAAAGCAAGGTCAGGAGACAGCGACACACTTACACGTGGATAATGTAAGTCAGTTACACGTTGATGGCATCAGAGTGACTCACGGGTATGATTTGTTGTTCACAGACTGTAAAGAAGTCTGGACTGATTGGCCTTCGAAACTCAAGCATTGTCTAGCCAAAGCTCTTGCACATTTCAATATTCAATATACACCTACTAAACTCTAACTGGATTTCTTTGAAAATTCATTACAATTCTTGCAAAAGTAACCACAGGTACAACTGATATATGCACAGATATGAAACATGAATACCATCCCAGTTGGAGAGGTCCTGAAGTCATCATCAGGAGTACAAAAGTGAAACAGAAGTTCTTAGTGTAGTGGGCAAATACCATGGAGTGTTACCTTACAATAAAAATGAGTGACATAGTGCTGTGACACTGATGGCCCTTGACAATGCCAGGCTGAGTGAAAGCAGCCAGTCAAAGATGTACATACTAAATGATTCTATTTATAGGACGTGCACAAAAGTTTATGGAGACAGGAAGTAGATCACTGGTTCCGGAGGCCCGAGGGCGTTGGCTGGGAACAAGAATGAGAGTTCTCTTTGGGATGATGATGGTAATGTATGAATGGTGAGTGGAGTGATGATCACATAGATCTGTGAACATGCTCACACTCATTGAGTACTGTCCTGTAATTGGATGGATTGCTTAGTACAGGAATTATATCCCAGTTGTGATTAATAATTTAAGAAAGGGTGGGGAATGGGGCAAACACATTGAGATATCATTGGAATATTAAAAGATGGCTCAGTGGCTAGGAGTGTTTTCTGTTCTTGAAGAGGACCGAGTTCAATTCCCAGCAATCATACTGGGTATCTATAACTGCCTGAACCTGCTTGCAAGCTCACACACACACAACTGGGAATATAATTGTGCTTCAAGACTGCTCAACTACAAACTTTAAGATCTAAGGGGTTACTTTATAGGGAACATAGAATATGAAACCAGTGCTTTTGTTTATAAATACATATGAAGCTGGTATGCCTATTCTGCGCATTCTCCCTTGTGTAGTCCATAGACTAATTTTTTTTCCTTTTGAGATAGTGTCTCACTATAAACTCTCCAGGTGCATCAGGTTAACTTCAAAGTCACAGAGATCTGCTTCTGTTCTTTTAGTACTGGGATTAAAGGTATGTGTCAACATGCCTGGTGACTAATAACTATTTTATTAAGGTGTACCTTGCATACCATATATTACAAAATTCACTCACTTTGAATGTAATTACATCCATATATTTTAATCACAAGTGACTACATTTTTTTTAAATCTCGAGGTTGATGGAGCCAGCTAAGTATTCTATTTCTGAGCTCCTGTACTTAAAAATTTAATAATAAAAACAAGAAATATTTATATATTTTGTTTGGACATCTATACATCAGTATGTATTATTAATGATCTAATTTTCTACTTTCCTACAATGAATTATGTTACCTTGGAAAGAGTTAAATAGTATAAGGTTAAATCTATTGCATCAGGAGCTACAGAGATGGCTCAGCAGTTAAAAATGTACTTTTCTAGAGGACCTGGGTTCAATTCCCAGCACCCACATGGCAGTTCACAGTGGTTTATAACTCTAGTTCCAGGCATTCAATGCCCTCTTCTGGCATCTGTGAGCATTACACATACAAACATGCAGGCAAACACCCTTATACTTAAAAACAAATAAATGTTTAAAAAAATAGAAAAAAATACACAGCAGCAACAAGAAGTGATTTGATATGGGATAATGCTCTTGTTCATTGTAAAGATTTGCCACTTGTATTGGTTTACTAAAATGCTGATTGGCTAGTAGTCAGACAGGAAGTATAGCTGGGGCTACCATAGTAGGAGAATTCTGGGAAGAGGAAAGGCAGAGATGCAGTTGCCAGCCAGATGAAGAGGAAGTAAGATGAGAATGCCTTACTGAGAAAAGGTACCAAGCCATGTAGCTAAACATAGATAAGAAGTATGGGGTAATTTAAGTTGTAAGAGTTTTTAGTAATAAGCCTGAGCAGTAGGCCAAACAGTTTATAATTAGTATAATCCTCTGTGTGTTTATTTGGGACTGAACGGCTGCATGACTGGGTGGGACAGAAACTTCCATCAACAGTGATCCAGAAGCTCAGCTAAGCAGGGCAGGTATTTGTTGCTGGAGTTTTTCTTGTCCTGCTAGGTCCTGCCTCCGCTTCAGCCTCAAATAAGCACACAAAAACTTATATTAATTATTAAACTGTTGGTCAATGGCTATGGATTCTTATTGGTTAACTCTGTCTTAATTATTAACCACAACTACTAATCTATGTATTTCTACATGTCCTTATCTTACTAGGGAATGCCTGGTGCATCCTGATCTCTACCTGGTGTCTCTTCAAGGTCTGTCTCCACCTACCTAGCCCAGAATTCTCCTCATCTCCTAGTCCCGCCTATCTTCTTGCCCTTATTGGCCAAACAGTGTTTTATTCACCAACCAATAAGAGAAGCATATATACACAAGGACATCCCCCATCAAATATTTTGAAGGGGAAATGAAGGAGGATAACAACTAGAAAAGTCTTCTTGAGTGGAAGTGTCAGATATAAAGAATGTCCAGTGGACCAAGGAAGGATGTCCATGTGGAACCAGTCAGTATCAAGTTGGAGCAATGCTTTATAGAATTCCGAGAGCCTTGGAATCTGATATCAGGAAATAGAAGCTGCTGCCTGCTCAGTTCCAGTGAGTTTTTGAAATTGATTAGTGATGTCTGCATGGAACTAAGAATGGAGGGATAATGGCAACCAAACAATAGACTTTTTACCACTGAAGGGATTTATGTAGGCATAGCCTAGTTTTTTCTACAGTCTTTGAAAAATCATATGCTGATTTCTATATGCTGAGTTGACTTTGAACTCTCATCTAATTTTTCCAGATTCCCATGAACATGCTCCAACCCACGCAAGCTCTACTCCTCTGACAATGCTGGCCTTGACTGAGGTAACCCAATGATGTGAAATTTCTATTGTGCTGGCTAAGAGAATGAACAATGCAAACAGGGAAGAGGAGTGGGGTGGAGAGCTGAGAAGGGGGTTAGAACCATAGCCTCCTCCAGCCCCTAGTTACTGAAAATACCCTCTATGACAGCTGGATACAGCCTGCTTGCCTTGAAAGACAGCTACTCTCAACTCCAACGGAAGGTATTTTTAGTATATCCTGGGTACCAGACAACTGTTCCTATGTCCTGAAAGATGATGAATTCATTCAAACAACAAGTCAGGGCTCTGGGTATCACTCAGCTCCAGCCAGTCATAACAGCTGCCAAATATAAAATATTACATGTATCCCGTGAGTCTTGGTTTGTGTTCCCCTCAACATGCATATTCAAGAATCTCATCCCATCCCTAGCTGTCAGAGATGGTGACAGTTGTACTAGGGGTGGGGGGATCCTCTAGCATTATCAAGAGAGATTATTTTTTAACCAAAATTATTTTCCATTGTAAATGTTTAAATCCATATTAAGTCCAGATTAATGCAGGCAGCAGCTTCAAAGGATATCAACTGGGGGGGCATAATAATAAATGAAATGGTTCAGGACGGGTCCCATCACAAGGAATATTTTCAGACTAGAAAAGAAAGTTGTTTGGATTAAAAAGATATCTAAAGAAAATATGTTTCCCAGGGATTGCTGGCTCCTTTCACAGACACCCAAACTTTGTATACAAACCAGGACCTAGCATTTTTTCCCCCTTCTTCTTCGCATGATTGGAATTAATAATGTAGATAAACCCTAAACAAATCAGGATTAGTGCTAACTACGTCTTGAGGTTTAGGATGCAATAGGAAAATGAAAAGGAGGGAGAAAGAGAGAGAGACAGAGACAGAGAGAGAGGAGAGAGGAGAGAGAGAGAGAGAGAGAGAGAGAGAGAGAGAGAGAGAGAGAGAGAGAGAGAGAGAGAGAGAGAGAGAGAGAGAGAGAGAGAGAGAGAGAGAGAGAGACTGAACTGCCTGGACTATGGAATGGGGAAAGGAGTCATGGGAAGGGGCGGGGTTAAGGAGAAGAGAAACAGCAAGAAGGAAGGACCAGCTGAGCTGGGTAATCAAAGTCCTTCTAATCACAACAGCTTTGGAGATGTGTTCAAAGGCTCTATCTTGACCACAGGCTGGGTGAGGTCACAAGTGAAATGCAGTTGCTGGGGAGGGGGAGGGGTGCTGGGATTTGGGTAGAGCTCTGCCGTCTCACTTTGTGAGTGAGGGCAGGCCTGCTGGATGGTCAGTATGTATGTCTCAGGAAACTGGTCCAGATCTCTAGTTGGGAAGGAACAATTCCACCCCCAACTTGCACAACCTGTTAGAAGATGAAGTTCCACGCTGGCATGTTTGTTCCCACCTGCGAAGTTCCTCCCAGAGCACTGATCCCAGGAGTGAAGAACAATTTTCTTTTTGCGAACAAATAATTGCACGATGGAGTGAATTTTAATAAAGTCATTTAGATTCTTCGATGTACCTGAGTTTGAGTCACTGAAAATGGTCCCAGCACATGGAATCAGACTCTCTCTCTCTTCCTCTTACAGGAGCCCTTAAGGCAGGAGTCGATGCAGGCTGAGTGCACTTCTTTTGGTCACCTTTTAAACCTTAATTCTCAGTAAATAAAGGCTTCTGTGGAAGCCCCTAATTTTAGCCAGAGGAAGTAGTACTCTCCAGACGCACTCACATGGCTGTAGAGATCGCAATGCTGCCAACATGAAGCTAGGGCATGACGCAATCTCCGCAAGCACGCCAGCCTTCCCCACCAAGCCGGCCTCAGACATGGTGTAACTTTCTCTTCCCGCCACGATGCTGTTGAACAGCCACCCACACTGGCAGCCTGTGACATAGCCCCTCTGAGTGCCTGCCTCAGATGGCTTCTCTTTGGTGAACACATAGGCTTCTGATTTAGCCTAACCTTCCAGCAACCAGGCTGACGGGAGATTTTGAGAGATCGTGTCCCCCATCTGTTCCTTTTCCGCTTTTCAGCCTGTCCTCTTTTCTCTCTTGCCACACTGAGAGGGGCGTGCACAAGAAGGGACACCCACTCTCACTCCCTGTCTGTACAGAAGTTTATTGTCTTTGTAGGTTTGTTGTTCTCTCTTCCCAGAGATACACCAGAATGGAAAGAGATGAGAGACTGCGGGGCTAGGTGACTTCTTTGTTTTGCAATGTCTGTGGCCGTTTGTGGCTTGCTCTAACTTTGCAGTAGATTGGTACCAAAACAACAGCATGCATTTTAAAGGACTCTTGATAGTTACCATGGTAATTTGAGATTTTGATAAATAAAAATATATTCTGGGGAATAAGAATAAGTCAGAGGTTTAACCTTCAGAAAACCTCATTATACTAATGATGGGTGAAAAATGAGGGAGGAATGCTAAAATCATGGCCATGCAGTAGCATGAACTCAATTCCAGCCTAAAAATAAAGGATTTTCTTTTCAGTTGGAACATATTTCCTTATAGCCTCAAACGCTATCCATAGCCAAAACAACGCACCATTAAGGGTAAGTGATCGTCAGGGCTTTAGGCTTCAGAGGTCAGCATAAAGGACATTGTCTTACAAATTACAGGCATCTCCCAAATACCAGGCCCTTGTTGCAAAGAAGAAGCTAGCCACCAACCCAAGACTGCCACTTGAACCCACTGACAATAATAAGACAAGTGGAAGCTGCTGATACAATGAGACACAATTACTTATACATGAATTTTAGAGGCACATAGACAATTTTATACACATATATACACACAGAAACACACAGTTAGCCTTCCCTAAATGCTGCAAATCTCATCTGCTGATTCAGCCTTCAGCCAAATACAAATTTCAAATATGTGAGAAAGTTGCACCTACACAGGACAGGCCCAGACTCCCCTCTTGTCAGTGTTCCCTGAACAAGTACAATGTAATGATTTACATAGAACCTATATGACATTAGAGATACGTGATCTAGAAGTGAATTAGAGTGTAGGAGTATGTATGTAGGTTACATGCAAATACCATGCTACTTTATAAGAAGAACTTGAGCACTCACAGAAGAGGATTTTGGAATCAGTCCTTTGAAGATGACTGTTGATGTATATGTAGACACTACACACGCTCATGCACACATACAAACACCCCCACCCCCCCACAACACACACACACACACACATACACACACACACACACGGTGAGGTGGGTTGAGCATCTGGATTAAAAAATGTAAAATCTGAAATGCTCCTGCATTCCAAACTTTTTGAGTACCAATTGACACTATGTGTAGAAAACTTTTCACCTGACCTTATATGACAGATTGTCATCATAATGCAGATATACTAAAAATACTGTATAAAATACCTTCAGGCTATGTGTATAATATGCAATGTGAAAGGTAAATAAATACCAAATTAAAGTGGATCACATTCCCATGATAACTCATTATGTATATGCAAACATTTCAAAATTGAGGGGAACATCTGAATTATCAAATACTTCTGGCACTAAATATTTTAGGTAAGGAATACTAAGTGTGTGTGTGTGTGTGTGTGTGTGTGTGTGTGTGTGTGTGTGTAAGAGAGAGAGAGAGAGAGAGAGAGAGAGAGAGAGAGAGAATATGTGTATAAAATTTTTCCTGATAATACAAAAAAAGGTCAGGTTCATTGGAAGAATTGGTAGATAGGTAGCAATTTCAATTTAACCAAATGATTTTTGGTACAGAAGGAAAATGTATAATTAAAAAATTGTGACTATTAAAGGCAATGGTCGAGCTGGAGATGTAACTCAGTGGAGAGACGGTTTGTCTCATATTCACGAGAGTCCAAGTTTGGTCCCCAGCACTGTATAAGTCAAGCATGGTGACACAGCCACCACCCCAGGACTTGAGAGGTGGAAGCAGGAGAATTGGGAGAACAAGGCTTGGGGACATTAGAAAACAAACTAACAAACAAAAACAGAAGATAGTGATCTGGATGGTAAGGCAGTCTGAAATAGATTTCCAAGACCTGAGATGTCACCAGTTCAGCATTTGGGCCATTCACAGGAGAAAGCTCACAGGAACAGCCAGCCCAAGGGTGCTGTCCTCTCCAATGCCCTTCCCCAGGTGGTTGCCAGTGCAGATTAGCTCCACCTTGGTTTGGGTGCATGGTGACTGGTGTATATCCTGGGGTTTCTGGGACAGTTGTCTTCACAGTCAAGGACCTTCTCTGTAGGGACTATGCTCTCTGAACCACTGAGACAGACATCAGGACTTGACACAAGTTAATTCCATTCTTTTTTATGACAGAATCTATTCCCGGTGATTTAGGCATCTTTGGCAAAGAGCTGGCCCATCACAGAGATAGCAGGGCATCAAGAAGAGATAGCAATTGCAGTGCTTTTCCCGTTGGCCCTCCAGAAAACAAGCTAATTTGCCTGCCCTTAGCCATACCTCACTGTTTCCCATTTTACATAACTGAAACAGAGAAAGTTCTTGAAGTCTGAACAGTGATAATTAAGTCTGAATTGGATGGGATATTTGTAATTTTGAATGTTTGAATTCTGAGAGGAAAAAGCTATGTCATGTTGTTGGCCAAATGACCCTAGTGATTAAGATTCCTATGGCATTATTTAGTTAGCTGGCTTTTTATAACACTGTGAGGTTTGCTGTGAGCTGTGAAGGAAGCCAGTGGGTTCAGAGGGATGAGGAGAGTTCCAGAGAAGATGAGAAGCAGCAGCGCCTTCGCCCCGCCCTCGTCACTCAGAGCATCAGCCTCTCCAAACTCCTTCAGATCCAGGAGACGAGGAGAGTAGCCCAAAAAACCATTTTTTGTGAAGCCAATGGAAACGGCATCCGGATCCAGGAAACAAAAAGTGAGACAGGAAAGGGAGGGTCACATTTTTTGAAGGAAATCATGCAGTATTTTGGTGAATCCTTTGTTGACGGAAAAAAAAAAGTGAGCAGCTCATTAGTTATGTCCTGAGAATGGAACATTGCTAGTCTGTATTTCCTAGGCTGGGTCTGTTGTCAAAGTGTTTACTACCCAGTGCACTGGAGACTCGGGCTCCTATACTTACGCTGTGAACATTCCCACAGTGTTGAAATCCGTCCAAAGCAGGATATAGGATGACATTTGATGAGACACGACTTAATTTTTTGGGACCCTTACAAGACGGGAAGGGTTCTTCCCCTGCAAAGCAACGAAATGAAATGTATCAAGCAAAACGCCTTTGCCTCCCCTCCCTTTTTCCTCTTTGTGCCTTAAGCAGAATTTATCAGAGATTAATAAATTGGAGGACAAATTGGAGGATGACTCAGTGGATAAGACCCTGTGTGAACCCAAGTGTGA